GTAATAAACATCCAGTTTGTCTTTTAAAATACAGTTGTCAAACTTTAAACGGTAAATATACAGGAGATTTATCCTAGAGGTCTTTAAGGCACAAAGTCTGTTAGGAATAATGTCTTGTATCCATATGAACTGTTACCCAGGGAGCCATATGGAACCTTACATGTAATATTTTATTTTTTTAAATAAGCTAGAAAGGATATTAAAAATGTCTACTTGAAGTTGCACTGCAGCACTTAACCCCTGGGATGCAGTGGTTTCACAGTGCATGCTACTAACCACACAAACACTTTTGAATTGGCAACTTGTGGTAAGAATAAACTACAAACTCCCTAACAAGAAAACTTTTTCCCCTTTCTATTGGAATATTTTCATCTTGAGAACACTGACAAAGGAACACAAAAAAACATGGAAAAGATGAAGCCTAGAAACCATCCTTTAGGGATAATGACGACAGGTTTTTCTAGTTTTACAAAGAAGAATCTGTGTCTGTGTGTGTGTGTGTATCTGTGTGGGTGGTGTGTCTGTGTGTGTGTGTTTGTGTGCATGTATGTGTATATGAGAAAGAGAAGAGGGGAGAAGAGAGGAAAGAGACAGAAAGAGGCAGAGAATGATCAAATGGTTGGTTATTTGGTATGCAGGATTATCCTATTTCAGTAGATGTGTGGTCAGCTACACTTTCAACATAAAGTCAACATGCCTAAATTAAACAATACTGTCAATCACAGGAGATTTTAGTGAGATGAAATACTGTGGAAGAAGCCCTAAGTGTCATACAAGACTAGAACTAGGCCGCTGTGTGTGCTACCTAGACAGGAGAGCAAGATTGGTACAAAAACAAACCAGAAGAAGACCCCGTAACAAAGCAGTATAGGCTAGCAAAGCTAGTAGGCTAAGTGATGGGAAAGATCTGGGCCAATTCTCCTTAAATGGAGCGGGCACATACTGGTGAGATTATGAGATGCTACACTGTACCTAATGACAAAATTATTTATACAGTGTCAAAACACCATCCAAACCCCAAGAAGTGCACACAGCTAGTAATAATATAAGGCTAGTGAGATGGGCAGTAATGAAACACTGTACCTAGCCAAGTTTGTAAAACAAGTACAGAACTTCACAGTATACCAGTTTAAGGACAACTTCGAATGGCAGGTACTGAGCATCAAAAACAAAGACTGATATCAGTGTGTTCATGAGTCTACCCTATGAAGAAAGAAAGTATCCCATATAGTTCCTTATTTGTGTCTTGAGGAAAAGCCTCAAAAGAGAAAAATTCAAATGACCTGTGACTTCTGAGGATTAAGAGAACATCACAGATTCACAGACCCAGAAAAGCACCTAGTGTCTGGCCCTCCAGCCTCCAACAACCATCAAGAATTGTAATACATCTCAAGACTGGGAGAAGTACCATACCCACTTCTAACAGTGAAATATAATAATATACATTTTAATCAAGACACACTTAGGTTTCATTTAATTAAATAATTTACCATGCTTTAACTGGAACTAAGACAGAATAGTTGCTAAGACAATAGGCTTAAGAAGAACGAATAGTATATAGTCTTTGCAAGTGGCCAGACTTGAATTCAAATCCCATACCCACCACTAACCCAGATACTGTGCAGCCTTCCATCAGCCATTTATGGCAATCCAGGGGTTCTGTCCTCATGCTTGTACTTCATGTTTGCAGATACCACAACCAGCCAAATGTAAGAAAGGGGAGTTGGCCTTCTTCTTTTATAAGTAAAATTTAAAAACCACTTTGCTGGAAGAACTCCCAGAAGTCACCCACTTAACTCTAATTTGCCACAACTTGGAGACTGATCAACCCAAGATGCAAGGAAAGTAGGGAAAATTTGGCAAAAGAGAACGGGATCATCCTAACTAATTTAAGTCAATGTTGCTTTACTCCCAAGGGCTGCGTACTTAGCCATCCTAAAGAAAACCGCGATTCTGTTAACAAGGAAGAAGGGCTGTTAAGTGGGCAATGATCAGTATCTGTCACAATACCTCAGATGAAACAAAAAATATAATTGTAAGCATCTGAGGGTGAAAAAAATGATTTTTAAATAACAGAGACTCTTTCAGTTCAGTAAAGATATTGCAGAAAGAAAAGTGAATAAAATACCCTCGATACCTAGTCTAAGGTACAGTCTAAGAAAGTAGAACTGCTTCATCCTGGAACAAATGATTAACATTTCATAAAACAAAATGTAATGCCTCCCCCAAGCCCCATATTCAAAACCTTTTTCTGTATCTAGTAAAGTTTCTAAGGCAAAGCTATAATATAACCTAAGAATAACAGTAAGTATTGACTACTTTTGACAAAATAACTTGTTGAACTTTTGTAATCTATAATAAAACTAAACAGCTCTAACATGAATCATGATATATTATTTTAGTTGTCAAGATAAAGCAGAATCGAACTGGCTAATTAGGCTGAAGCATTTATTCTTTCAACAATAAAATACTTTTCAGATAATAAGCTTATAACAGCAACAACTACATGTTCAGAAGCTGAGAAAAACAGCATATGTTTCAAGGTCTTTCTCATCAGACACTCTTATTTGTTCAGAGTATTTTGCATAGTAGGCAATATTGGTGCCCAATCATTTTACCTTTGAGTTTTGATGATTTCACATACCAAATATACAAGAAGAGCAATAACTGGAAAGCAAAAATTTTTCATATCTTTAAAAATTTCCACAGAGCTCAGACTTACTTGGCATAACAAAAGGTTACTCTCACACTTCAATCTAGGATTGAATGCACATATTTGTTAACTTAGTATCTAAATGTTCATACTACCTCAGTTTTTCTAAAATGTTCAAAAAGGTTATTTAGCAAAGAGTAGATAAGTTATCACAGGTGAAATATAACTGTAAGTTAAACTTGTAAGGTACACCTTTGGGTTAAAAGACTGATTAGATTAGTATAGTTAACTGCAAAGGCTAAATGGCAGACCTTGAAAGATGACAGATACCATTCTTAGGCAGTGGAGGTTATGGCTACCAGAGAGTAAGGCTTTACACCACGATATCTAGATATCTACCTCTCAAATAAGACTGTTTCAAAGACCACTGTGACACTTATCCTCAAATGCTACAGGCTTCTAAGGGAGTAGGGAAGCCATAGGCACAGAAGTGTTTGCATGCTAACCACACACATATATTTGTGATACAATAATGTAATTCTGAAAAACTGCATAATCAAAATGAAATCAAACAAGAGACATAGAAATGTCTCATTTTAATGTTCAAATGACTGTAGAAATTTATTATATTGAATAGTACTGTCAAATGAAAAAGTGCCATAAAGTCAACTGGATTACTTGACCTTAAGTAATATAATATAATTGGTGCTGCAAAAACACAATTAAATGGGATGTGAAAGCAACCATAAACAGTCATATTTTAACACAGCAACAGTCTTATCATTACCTTTACAACTTTTATATGAACATGTTCATTGAAATTTTTCATACTATTAGTGAATCAACAATATTCACTTAGTGATATCAGAATATAAAACATTAAATTATGTAAAGAAAGATACACTTTAGATTTGAAAAAAATAGAAAATTCTGAACACGCACTAGAACAACATTTTACCTTTCAAATCCTAAGCCATGTAACTGGAATGCTCGCTGCTATTTCATCTGACACTGTGCATTCTCAGTGACAATACTTGGTTTTCATACACAAAATGGGTAACTCTCTGAATCCCTCAAGTTCCTACTAAGAACAGCAACCTACATTTAAGTCACAAGCTGCCATGTCTCCTGAGGCTGGTCCACTTTAGGGGCAGCAGATGGGCAGAGGTACTGGAGGCAAAGTGGGCACTGCAGCTTCCAACATGTCCTTCCTCTAAGAACCTGTCTGCTCTAACTCCATTCATTATCAGCTCAGCACTTTTCATTCCTGCCCAAACCAATGCAGTCAATACACAGGGGCCCACAACAGCAAGAACATTAGATATGTTAACCACTACAGGATAGTCTTCCACTATTTAACCATCAGGAGAACACACAGAAACACGTACAAATAGAGAATAAGGGGATGCCACCCTACCTGTTCCCTCAGTGAAAATATAATGAGTATTTACCTCCATCTTTTCAGTGTGTCCCATAAGACTCTTTTTTTTCTAAATTTTATTTTTATTTTTATTATTATTATTATTATTAGAGATGGGGGGGTCTCACTCCACTCCCAGGCCAGAGTACAGTGGCACGATCCTGGCTTACTGCAGCCTTGAACTCCTGGGCTCAAGCAATCCTCCCACCTCAGCCTCCTAAGTAACTGAGACCAGAGGCACATGCCACCATGCTCAGCTCATGAGACTCTTTCTAATACTTCCTCCTAGTTCCTACTTCCTAACAAATCAGAATTCAGAATTGAGTTCTGAATAATAAATACTTTCAAACTTACTCATCCTCAAGAATAAGTCAAAGGTTACCAACTCTATAAAAACACCTCCAGTTTGTCACAGTCCAAATCAACCTCTCCATCTTTCATCTCTCATTGCACTTGCCTATCTCTATCTCAACAGACTTTAAACCCTTGGGAATATCCACCTTTCAACTCTGATTCCTAGTAAACAGCAGATAGAACGAACCAAACTAAAACAGTATACTCAATAAAAAAGGCATTAGAGGTGTTTTTATGAACACCTCACCCACCAAAAAACCCAATGGGCCCAAGATCTACTCTTCTCTCAGGCCACAAATTGTTACCCATACCCACACCAATGTATATAATGAAATCACAAGACAATAAGAAAAGACATATGGTTGGTTCTAAATGAAGCTCCTTTCCTAGTGACCAGGTGTCCTTAGAGGATGAGTGTACACCACTGCTCCGCTTTCTTTAGAGAAATATCTACTGTACTCATAACAACCAGTTCCATTGTTGGAGAAATTCTTAAAGATGCTGATAGAGAAGCAACATCCTCATAAAAGTTACTTTTTTAAAAACTGGAAATGCATCCTGAGCTCTAATTACCTGTAATGCTCACTGATGGGAATGTTCTGAGAGAAGTATAAAGCAGATGTCCGAGCTCTCCAATGCCATTTCTTTGCAGGAAGGGTATAAAGGACACAGTCTCCTAACTCTTCTTGGAGAAGATCCACCAGTTGTTTATGGGACCCTCCATAGAATGCTTCAATGATGAGAATACTCATTGGCCCATTCAAACCTTCAGATCCTAGATAACAACCAAAAAATGTTTATTTTTTCCATTACATACATGTATAAAATTGTAATAAAAATAAGTTCAAATTTTATACTCAGAAAATACAAATAATTTAGCACTTATTTTTTAAAATAGGCTTATCCCATATTTTAAATGGTATATAACACTTAAAGTTTTATATTTGTGTTAAGAAGAAGAAATAAGGATGTCTTTACTTTTCTGATTTGTTTTCCTCACGTCCTAAGATTATCTCCACTATGACTCTTAGTTTTTTTCTTCAACACCAGAAAGCTAAAAGCCCTCACCTGCTGTGAACACTCACTTCCTGCTTTGTTCAGCTATAAGCCTGACTCAGTAATCTCAGAAACCGCTTGACTTAGAGCTCTAGTCTTAGACTGTAACTGAACTCATCTTCTAATGATGACTTCCACTTCAAGAGCCCTTCATTTATAAGGCCCTTCGTGGTTCAGAAACTCTGATTCTTTAACTCCTGTATTACTCCATCTTTAAATTCACCAGGTATAACTGTCCCTAATAGATACGTATTTAAAAAGACAGTATATCAACCATATACAAATCTCTATTTTCTAGTGTTAAAAATTTTAGGATACAATTTCTTGAGATACTACACATACTTTGATCACTTCCCCAAACTTGTCAATGTATCATTCCCAAAGAAACGCTGAAACAGTGTGGTAAAGTTGTATGTGTGTGAACCAATAAGCTTTCTACAACCTTCCTTTAGACAAGCGACCTATTAAGAGGGATAAAATAGCAATAATAGGGTCATTAAAAACATGATAAAATTTCATCACAGAGAATTGGCTATCAAGCAATTTTTCATTTTACTATAATTTTTGTTAACGTGCTCAGTGAAATAAAAAGATATCTATGAACATAAAATCTCTCATACACATTTCAAATTATATGTTATTTCCTGTAAGACATAGGGGGAACACATCATTACATGCATAAATGCTATATTGCTTAAGAAATATTCCAGATGTTTGAATTTTCCTTTATGACTTAAGTAAATATCATTCATTAAACGGCATATTCCTTTTCTTAATAATGTTGTTCCACAAAATTATTAGTCTCAATGACTCATGATGTTCTTCACTAATAAAACTACACTTCACTTTGTTCAAAGTAATGGCTACTTAAATTGCATTTCAAAGCAAAAAGGCTTCTTTTTGATGTCTAAATTTTCCAATGAGCAATTGGGAGGATGGAGGAATATATCTATATATAATTGGGGGAGGGGCTCTGTGTGTGTATTTCATTTATATGCAAAATTAGAAGCAGTGGTCCTCAGGTAGAAAAGGCATGAATCCTAGGATCAAGGACATACATGTCTGAACCTCAGCTCTTGTCACTTTCAAGCTGTATGACCTTGAACAAGTACCTAACTTTGTAGGACTCAGTCTCATCTTCTCCAAAATAGAGACAACAGTACTAACCTCAGAGTGTGTTGTTAAGATAAAATTAGAAAATGCATGTGAAGCATAGTAGATTGCAAACAGTAAGAAGGTATTTAGCCCATCCCATCATTAATATAAATCACTCTCCTTAAGGAGAAAGAATCTCTTCAAATTTTCTACCATTTTAAAATCAATAATTTTCAATCATGGTCCCCTACCCAACAGGAATAGATGAAAAAGGTGGATATACAAATGCATTTAAAATTGCAGGGGTGTTTACACATCCCATGTCAGCAGCTGGCATTTTAAACATGAATTTGAGAGCCCTGCAGGCTTTGTGGGTAAGAGGTGAGCTCAGAGGCTGAGCCATGCAGAGTTCATGGTCCACTGGACTTCTGCTCTAATAAGGTAGTGTTCAATAAGTTAACAGACTTATTGAACCCTCTAGGTTCAACAAAGTGGTAGCCATTAATCCTTCAAATAATGGAAATTTCTAGAAAGTAACTGAAAGAACAATAAAAGGCAATTTTGAAAATTATATCAAAGGTTTCAAGAAAGACAGAATATAAGCAGTTTAACATTAATTTGCTTACTTCACCACATTGAAGATATCTACTATCTTGCTTTATTTCCTCTGACCTACTCACACTAAGGTGTATTAAACATATGCCCTATATGTACTTAAAAGGTTTCTAAAAGGGTCTTGTAAATATGACCTATTTCCCCAAGTGATGAAATGTGATATAAACCACTCTAAAGAATATTTCACTCATCTAACCTCAAAGAAAGCAGTATCAATACTGGAAAAGAAAACTGCTTTCCGATTCCTCATCATCTTATCCTTTCCATGATTAATCTAAAGTACATATCATGACATATTGTACAGATGTTTCTGATGGGTCTGGTTCACAAGTTATCTGCAAATTATCAGCCACTGTGGAGGCAGTACATGTAGGTGCTGCTATAGAGTCAAGATGCTCAGTAGGCAGAACTGAACTAAGCATGTGGGAGGCTGAAAAACAGAAAAGGGTGAAAAAAGATTATAGCTATAGTAGATTTCCACCCCCCTGACAGCTCAGTAAGAAGGGTGAAATGTACAGGTTTGAACTAGTGTTTACGTGAGCATTTTTTCTGGTGGCCAATGGGTGTGCCTGCATTTTGGTTGTTTTTCTAGGGAAAATAACTATGTCCTACCATCTCTGAAAACTATACTTAGTGGCTTTGATTCATGGAAATTTGTTCTGCTTGTTTTGTGGAGACAAACATATCCTGGCAGTTCCCCCACTTACTTCTATTGCAACTTTTGCAGCAAGCTGAAAATGTGTTCTTCCCTATGGTCTTCTTGAAGTACAACCTGGAAGAAAGATGATTCCCATTAGATACAAGTAAAAGGGGGGAAGCTGATTTTTAACTATATGATTCAAACCAAATGACATATAGCACTTTAAAGAACAATTCAAATATTTTGGCTGTGTTTGAGTTTTGTTTTAGAAAACTGCTTGAAACAAGCATGAGGCTGATCAAAGAAAAAAAACAACCCACTTCACTGCTATGGTGGAATTTGCTAAAATATAAAGAGAATACACTATTTGCCCATTTCAGCAATAGTCAGAAAAATCCACAAGTGGTCACCTTGATACACAGATGTTCACAAGCATGTAGGGTGAATACAGACATTTTTGCACCACTAGCAAAGGCTACTAGAGAATACTTGGAAGCAGCAGTAATAAGGCCTCACTATTGAAAGTGCTAACTCCAAAGCAAGAACAGGCTTTCCTTTATAGGAAGCGGCTATGGCCAGGTGTTCGCCAGAAGATGGTAGAGAGCCAAATGTCTTCTGTTGGTGCCTCAGTTTATGAATCTGTTAAAGCATTGTCACAAATACCAAAAAAGACCTTAAATTATGAAACACTTAAACTGATTAAGAATACAAAAATTAGGCTGAGCGCAGGGGCTCACTGTGTAATCCCACACTCTGGGAGGTCCAGATGGGTGAATCACCTGAGGTCAGGAGTTCAAAACCAGGCTGGCCAACACAGTGAAACCCCATCTCTACGAAAAATACAAAATTAGCCAGGGCATGATGGTGCATGCCTATAATCCCAGCTACTTGGGAAGCTGAAGCAGTAGAATCGCTTGAACCCGGGAGGGAGAGGTTGCAGTGAGCTGAGACAGTGCCATTGCACTCCAGCCTGAGCAATAAGAGGAAAACTCCATCTCAAAACAACAACAACAACAAAAGAATACCAGAATTAGGGGTGTGGCACTTTAAAAGGAAGAAACAACAAAAAACTAGGTTGGAAAATAAATACCAACCAGAAAACCCATGTCGTTTTTGCATGGCGCTCATAATGGTCTTATACAACATTAAGAAAAGAGTAAATACAGCAGCTCCATGCTTGCTCCCTAAAAAAGCATGTAATATATCAGATAAATTTTTATCAATTTTTAAGTTTTTCTGCTGAAACAAGCTTCAGTGAAAGAAAAACTCACTTCTTCAGCATAATTTATTCCCCAATGACACCAGATAAATGAAAACCTAGTTACTACTAAAGCTTTATGAAAGTTTAATTCATTATCAATACTATGATTTAATGATACATGGTTAAATGCTAAACATCAAATATGGAAATATAAAATATGTCAATGTGACAGCTCTTACACAGAAATTTTATATCATTTCAAATTCTATTTAAGATCAAGAGAGGTCAAAATGATCTATTTAAGAATTCTCTACCATTTAAAAAGTATATTTATAATTGAAAGGGGATATAACATGAAAATATCAATAGTATTTCAAATATTTTGACTAAAATGAAAAATCACCATTTGCATCATCCCAACTAAAAACTAATAATGCACTGATAAGATCACAGAGAACAAAAGTAGCCTGAAACTAATGCTGTGAATATTTTTAAATTTTTATCAAAACTTTTTGTCATTGTACCTGCATTTATTTTAAGCTTGACCCAATTTCTTTATTCCCTAAGCTATGATGATTTTCAAGGTGAACTACATTTTTGTCTACCTCCTTTAGCACTTAGAACTGCTATGGTAGTTGAAATGTTTTTAACAGTATAGATATTAAAAATCTGCAATATGCCATTGATTTACTGAAAAGTATATGCTAAATATAAATACATCATGTCAATTTAAAAAAATAAATAAATTTGTCACACTGAAACCCATAATTAGCCTTCATATCTGACGTCAACTTTGTTACCTATAATATTCAAATCATTTTCCAACCAAAGACCCAGTAATAATTTTAAATCAGAGGAATTGTTGTATTAATATATTCCATAGACACCTTTCTGTTATTGGTTAGTTGTAGGAAGGTATAGTTTCAGTGATGATGATTTTAACGGTTTTAATCCCACACACATGAGAAATTGATTCCACAAGCTAATCCACATACATACCTTAAAACTTCAATCAATTGTTGAAAATATAGTTTTGATTTACCTATATGTAATATTTGGAAACTTAAGCTTGTTAAAGCAAAAAACAGTGGGCTTAAACACTAAATGATTTAAGTTGGGGAAAGTGAAACTTGAGCAGTATTTCTCAGTAGGTCATCAGAAGTTTACCTGGTATTTTCTTACTGACCCTTTCTCTCCCTTCCCTTCTGCACCTCCACCCACCAACACACCCAGGTTCTATTTAAAAAGCAACCAATAATCCAGCAGAGTAAAATAGGGCAGTGCTGAGAAAAGTTAGTATTACCTTCCAGCCTACTCACTTATTTTAATGATTCATCACGGAAACCCCAGTTGTTAAAATATATCTGAAATCTCATTAAATAGTAAAAATAAGCAGCATTGAAAAGTTCTCTGCTTTAAAACATGTCACCAGTGATTCCCCTAACAGAATCTATTAAGAATGAGTGTGAAGTAAAATACATTTTGCTAAAAAACTTTCCTCAAAGTAATGTACTACAATCAACTATCATATGGGGGAAAACAGAGACAAGATAAACAGATTCTATTAAGAAGTTATTTTTTTAAATTCTTCTATAAAAATCAGGCACAGCAAATTCATCTTAACCTCTAAAACCGGAATATAACCTCTGAAAACTGAAATATAATCTGCTATTAAATGCAAAGTAATAATTTTACATACATAAAACTCTATGCACTGAAAATATTCTATATAAATTTAAACAAAGTTGGCTAATAGGAATGAATCTGTTTCTGGAGCATTAGTCTGAACTGTGAATAACACTTGATGGATACTGATCATTATTCCATTATTTGGTTAGGGGACATACAGTCTAACATTTATGATAACTTGTATACTACCATATGTACTTAAATAGCAACATTTTGTTTTAATTCTGGGTTCAAATTGACAAAGATGTGGTAAGCTAATAATGTATATCCCTTTCAATGTTATGGATATGCTAATCTCTTCAACTCTGATTTCTGTGTCTTGTTGTAGAGACTAAGAACTGAAAATTCATGCATCGAAACCAAGATTTAGTAGGAAAACGTATACGCCATACTTTCTGAGAAAATTTAAAGCTATTTTCAAATGTGCTTTTCCAATTATATGAGAGAGTTGCAATGATCTTTTTAAAAAATGCTCTTTGCAAAATTAGCATCTTACATGTATTTGTGACTGTTTAATTTTCCCTGATAATATTTTCTTTTTTGTTGGTTTGGAATTTTCCTTTCTATTTAAAAGTATCAGTCATGGCTGGGTGCAGTGGCTCATGCCTATAATCCCAGCACTTTGGGAGGCTGAGGTGGGAGGATGGCTTGAACCCAAGAGTTTGAGACCAGCCTGGGATACTGTGAGACTCCATCTCTACAAAATATTTAAAAATTAGCTGAGTGTGGGGGGTGTGCACCCATAGTCCTAGCTTCTCCAGTCCTAGCTGAGGCAGGAAAATCACTTGTGCCCAGGAGTTTGAGGTTAGTGAGCCATGATTGCGCTACTGTACTCCAGCCTGAGTGACAGAGCAAGGTCCTGCCTTTATTTAAAAAAAAAAAAAAAAAAAAAGTCACTTATTCCAAGACTTGAATTAAAAAAGAGTCTTGTTTAAAACTTATAAGCATCAAATGCAAATTCAGCAAATAATTACTGAGTACTTACCATGTACTAGGCACTATGACATCATGTACTTGTTTTCAAGTATGTACAACTTCCACAAACAACTAGGCAAGTATACAAGTTCAATATATTTTTGTGAGGTTGTGTTCCACATTATATAGCAAAATTACAAGGTATTTATTTGTGTCAGAAGTTGAGTGGTTTAATTCCACTGACAAATACAATATTAACCCCCTTTCAATTTTCAAATGCTATTAATTCCATGAATAATTTCAAACTATAAAAGCAGTAATGAATTAGTTCTACTGATTACTAAAAATATTTTTAATTTCCCAGCATTCACAAATGTGGCAGCATATTTATGAATAGGAAGTTTTACATCAGAAAATCATCTCACCACTCATTTAAAGTATCTCATTACCCTTTTAACTAGGCCTCCATGCTACCATACAATCTTGTTTCCACCATACCATTCTCCTTAAGCTAATCACAAATAATCTTTCCAAAATGGAAATCTGACCATAAAATGACAAGCTCAAAAACCTTAAATCACCTAAGGATAAAATCCAAGGCCCTACAAACGGCAATTAAGACTCATTTCCTGGCCCCTTCCTTTTTCTTCACTACAGCCACATTTGGCCTTCTCTCACTTCAATCCCTCTTCCCCAGCCTCTACTTTGCAGCAATACTAAACACCCACACTCCAGAGATATTTTACGCTCTTATGATTTCACACTTTTATCTCACCTCCATCAGCCTTTGCTCTCTGTTCGCCTAATGAACTTTTGTTAAAATTTCTGCTCATGAATCACCATTTCTATGAAGCCTTTCCCTGAACTCCTCCTAAACATGACTTCCTTTATACTCTGTACAGTAGAATTATACTTGTTTCACTGTAGTCACATGTTCTGCTTCTCCATGGAGCTGTGAAAATCTGAAAAATGGATGCTGTGCCATTATTTTCCTGAAAGTTATCTCAGGACCTGACACATAGTAGATGAACTAGGTTGTGCTGGAGCTGAAGTGAAAATCGGGGACACAGGAAGTCACTTTCTTCTGCCTTTAAAGTAACACTGCTTTCACTTAACATAGATTCTAAGCAACAAGTGTTAGGCAACACTGTACTTGATACTAATGATGTCCCATTATTGCTGAAGTCTAAACTAAATCAAGCAGCAAGTATATCTGGACGCATTTTATTATGTTCTCTTTCAAATATTCATTCCTTTCTATTGTTGACAGAAGCAGAATTTATGGGAAATAATTTTTTTCATATAGATATGTGTTTATTTTAAACTA